CTGCTGGAAAGGCATAACTAGTGGGGTACCGCAGGGGTCTGTTTTGGGACCGGCTCTGTTCAATATCTTCATCAACGACTTAGACATTGGCATAGAAAGTACGCTTATTAAGTTTGTTGATAATACCAAACGGGGAGGAATTGCAACTGCTTTGGAGAACAGGGTCATAATTCAAAATGATCTGGACAAATTGGAGAAATGGTCTGAGTTAAACAGGATGAAGTTTAACAAAGACAAATGCAAAGTGCTCCACTTAGGAAGAAAAAATCAGTTTCACACATACAGAATGGGAAGAGATTTTCTAGGAAGGAGTACAGCAGAAAGGGATTTAGGGGTTATAGTGGACCACAAGCTAAATATGAGCCAACAGTGTGATGTTGTTGCAAAAAAAGCAAGACACGAGAAGTTATTCTTCCGCTCTACTCTGCTCTGGTTAGGCCTCAGCTGGAGTATTGTGTCCAGTTCTGGGCACCGAATTTCAAGAAAGATGTGGAGAAATTGGAGAGAGTCCAGAGAAGAGCAACAAGAATGATTAAAGGTCTTGAGAACATGACCTATGAAGGAAGGCTGAAAGAATTGGGTTTATTTAATTTGGAAAAGAGAAGACTGAGAGGGGACATGATAGCAGTTTTCAGGTATCTAAAAGGGTGTCATAAGGAGGAGGGAGAAAACTTGTTCACCTTAGCCTCTAAGGACAGAACAAGAAGCAATGGGCTTAAACTGCAGCAAGGGAGGTCTAGGTTGGACATTAGGAAAAAGTCCCTAACTGTCAGGGTGGATAAACACTGGAATAAATTGCCTAGGGAGGTTGTGGAATCTCCATCTCTGGAGATATTTAAGAGTAGGTTAGATAAATGTCTATCAGGGATGGTCTAGACAGTATTTGGTCCTGCCATACGGGCAGGGGACTGGACTCGATGACCTCTCGAGGTCCCTTCCAGTCCTAGAATCTATGAATTCCCCCTCATTCCCTTGAGCTCCTGTGGGTCCTAGCTTTCCAAGCCACATGTAAATGGCTTCTTAAGAACAGGGGACAACATAACTACAAAGGCATCCTCTTGGACTCTATAGAATCTGTGCAATCAGTCACAAGCCTTTCAGTGCCAACAGCCTGCTACCGGCCCCATTCTATTGAAGTCTGGGTGTGTCATTCCAACCCCTGTGGCATCACAGAATAAGAGAGATGACCTTTTACAAATTACTGATATACAGAAATAGCTATGGAAGGAAAGTAAAAAAAGGTAGGTTCATCGAAAAATGGGAGACAACTAACTAATGATTCAAATGACAAATTTTGAATTATTTTTAAAGAATTCTAGCTGAATTATAATCTTAGGTATTATCTGTAACTATGACAATGATTAGAGAAAAATTCTATTTTTCAATATGCCAGTTTTGTGTATAGTCAGTTTCCCTGGCTCTCCCAGTTAGTTTTCCTTGTTGCTTGTGTGCATCTTTTACAGGTGATAAGGATGAGAAAACATATTTTTAAAAATCAGTTTTAATACTTGAAATTACATTTAGCTCATTTTAGAAAATGACTAGTTTTCTAGTTGACACTTATATCTGTATTAAATAAGAAAAATAATAAGTTGGTAAGGAATGAAGAATCAGTATTAATCATTCATTACAAGCAGATTCAAGAATGCTTTGAAATTTTGAACATGTAAATTTATTAGCTCATATGGATGAATCCTAAGGTTTAAAAAAAATTACACTAAATGCTGACTATATTTAAAATAATCATGGTCCACACAGAGGCACTGGAAGACCAGAGAAAACCAAATATAATGCCAGTTTTCAATTAGGGAAAAGAACAATGACTTCTATCCTTGCTAAAATATTGGAACACACATGAACAGAAAAAAATTTACTAAACATCTACAGGATAATAGACCATGAATAAACAGCACATATTTATAATTAATACATTATTGATAAATTATAAGGCATCTGGTAACAGTCAAGAGATGTAACACAACTGAATTTTAGTAAACCTCTGATACCAAGTCTTGTGATAGAGGACATCATATTATACATGACTTTGAAAGTGATATGGAAACAAAAAAGGCCACCAGAGATTTAGCTTGTCAAACAGCAGGATGGCAACACTCCTCTTTATACTCTTCTCCTTCACTTCTACACCTCTATTGTCTTGCTTCTTCATTGCTTCATGAGTAATTTAGACTGCATGCTCTTTGGAGCAGGGGGCATGTCTTGTGTCTCTATGGCATCTAGCACATTTCTGAATGGCCAATGAAAAACTAACATTAACAACATACAGCTATGTTGTAGGAGTCTGAGGCACATGACTTACGAAGAGGGGCTGAGGGTACTGGGGTTATTTAGTCTGGAGAAGAGAAGAGTGAGGGGGGATTTGACAGCAGCCTTCAACTACCTGAAGGGGGGTTCAAAGGAGGATGGAGCTAGGCTGTTCTCAGTGGTGACAGATGACAGAACAAGAAGCAATGGTCTCAACTTGCAGTGGGGGAGGTCTAGGTTGGATATTAGGAAACACTTTCACTAGGAGGGTGGTGAAGCACTGGAACGGGTTACCTAGGGAGGTGGTGGAATCTACATCCTTAGAGGTTTTTAAGGCCTGGCTTGACAAAGCCTTGGCTGGGATGATTTAGTTGGTAATACTATTTTCAACTTGAGTGCCTTATTTTGCAATCTTAGCATTCCATTTATGCTAATTTTTAGCATGAATAAAGTGGAAAACTTCCATTGTGCAATTAAAAATGGGAAATATTTTTAATTTTGGAAAATTCAACATGAATTAAAATTTTACCAAAACTAATTATTTTAGAACAAAATAAAGTTAAAAACACTAAAGAAATTAAGTGATTAGCAGAAGAGACGTTGCTATATGGAAACTTTCAAATATTGCGTATTAATGCATTATTTACCTTGGCTGTATACTCAGCTTTATAACTGTCTTGCGTGGCAGAGAATCTTGTGAGGATTGATCATCATCCTACAGGGGAAAAAACTTTAAATTTACATTTCAATGAATATAGATCAAACTAAAAATCAGACATTTCAGTTTTGGAAGAACCAAGACATAAAAATGCACTATCCACATCACACCAATAGTGAGTTCCAATGAAATCTAATTTACCACAATATGGAGGAAGACACTAGTTCCACCTCACCAGATAATCATCTCCAACTCCATACTTAAGGCAAGAAGATTATGAACATACCTGTCTAAATAGATTTTGATAGAAAGGAAAAAATGTATACTTATTCATCCAATTTGAAATCATTGTTCCCATTAAGTCATTTATTGTTATTCCCAACCTTCACACTCATTGACACCTATACAGGTTTCTACAAGTGTGTACTAGACATTCTAATCACTAATAAAGCTGGTGTGGTTTACAAACAGCTTCAGTACATTGAAATTAACTTTCTATTGCTGGAGGTTTACCTTTTCCAGCACTATAATCCTACAGTTTAGTTGCAGAAGCCATAGGTTTACTCTTCGTTAGAATTCAACAAACTATTCTCTCCCTGCTCCACCACCCAAGTTTACACACACACAAAATAAGGGGAGGGAGGATTGTGCGGGCCTACGGATAAATTAAGGTTTGAGGGGTTTTTAAACTAGGTGTTGGTTCATCAGCAGGCCAGTATACATCAGTAACAGTGTAAGTTTATGCAGTAAGCACTTTAAAAAACAGATTTATTGCCTAAACTCCAGAATCTCTCTACAAAATGCTGAGACTGTTTGCCTGTCCTTGCACAAGGAGTCTTTATATAGCACCCCCTTATGATCATGTCACCCTCTAGTAGTCACAGCCTAAAAAAGGTAACTTTTTTTATACTACATAAGCAGTAACATTTGTGTTACTGCTAGTAAATCATTAAGGGTTGTGGCCTACAGCTCTCCATTTTGTCTTAAAAATGTGAATGAATATAATAAAATAAACAAAACACACCTTCTAACACCGACTTGATAAGTTCACACCTATACGTTATTTATACTGGGAGTAGCAGCCATTATATTTAAAAATAGTAAAATGGCTTTCATTAGAACTCTTTAATTTCAATTACTCAGACTATTCTCAAAATTCACCTCTATGGCTGAAATTTTCCATGTTTGGTTTCTACCCAAAGTTATGTTCTTAAAGGTCTGAGTAAAAAATGCCTGGAAGAGATGCTCAACTAGGATCTGTGACAACCTCTTTCTTTGCATCCCTCCACTGGCTCCCCCTTCTCTATCACACCAAATGTAAACTATTTGACTTCATTTTGAAAGCTCTTCATGGCGTAACTCCACCCTACTTATCATTTCTCATTTACTATCAAAATGTTGACTCCACCTCCATAACTCACCCTGGTTACATTTTCAAACAAGCACCCTTGTACTTTTTGCCATGCTGCCCCTCATGCTTCAGAGAAGCTCCCCATAAACATTCACACAGCTACATTATTCTCCTTCAAATCACTCCTTAAAACTCTCGATTTCCATGATATCTATAAAAAAAACTTGACAATGGTTATGCCATTGGTGTGGAGAGACTATGGCCTACCATGCTGACCAATACGGTCTCATTGTTTCCTTGTACTCCTTGTGTCTCTGTATCCATCAGTTGTCCCTGGTCTGATAAGATTGTAAAGGGGAAGGACCATCTTTCTGTGCTAGGTTTGTACAGTGCCTAGCACAATGGGGTTCTGGTCCATGACTAGGACTCTTACATGCTATGGTAATAACCATACTCCTATACTACACTACTACACTAGAAAAGTAATACTGAAAACTCGGCATGAGGCATGACCACAGCACAACTGCCCTGAAATATATTTCAGGGGAGGAAGCAATTGCCTGAAGTAAATGCAACAGTTAACTGTTTAAATCCCTGAATGCACTTCCAGATTACATTTTCTTTCCAGCCAGTAAAAAAGCTTAATACATATGTAATGATTTGGGGAAATCTGTGCACACAATTTGTGAATGCTGGTTGAGATTATAAACTCTCTGTATGTATCTTTACCAAGCTGCAAACTTCATTTCAAATGTGCAGTACTCTTTGTCTTCTCTGAGGTCTGTTTGCCCCCATCTTGGACTGAAATTCCACAGGTGGATGGCAAAGGTCTAGTAAAAGAGTTGTTACGTGCACAAGCATTGAAATGTAATCGCTCTTGAGAAAAGACTGGCTCCCAACCAGGAGAGCTGGTTTATCAGGGGAGAGGTTTCCTAGCTCCAGCCCAAGCCCAGATGTTTACACTGAAATTTTAAAGCCCTGCAGCCCAAGCCCTCCGAGCCCAAGTCAGTTGACAAGGGCCAGCTGTGTTTTATTGCACTGTGGACATGCCCTCAGGGATCTAGAAGCAGGATTCCTCTCGCAGCAGAGTAATGAGTGCCCATGAGGGTGCTCTTGATTGGATCTGTGACAACACAGATGCTGACCAAATTAACGTGTGCCTAAAAAGTTCAAGTAATTAAAGATATGTAAAAATAAAACGGTGTAAGTATATATGAATGAAAAAATATTTCAAGATGTTACTTATGCATATTGCTGATTGTAGAAACATTTTCATGTATTATATTAAATTATTTAAGTGTCATATGACCATGTAACTAGAGACTGCACTGTATCAGTTATGTGCAAAGGCACAGTGTTAAGATGTGTATAACCTTAACTATGTTATTTTCTGTCTTTACCGTGTTTAACCAGGCAATTCAAAAATATTTCTAACAATAACAAAGGATTTTGGTATGGAATAATATAGTTTGTTAAAAGATGGACACTATTCCTTTAGTAGGTTTCTCTTCTGAAAAGTGACTCTTCAAAAGTGACCTGCAGGATTTTCGAGCTCATTTTTTCCTCAGTGGATTCCCATATCAAATTCTCTCGATTTACAAATAAAAGTATGTCTGTTTTATAGTCCAATTCTGCAAATTCAGCCTGGGCTCAGATTCAAGATGGGCTCTTTCTTCCTCCTTCATTATCATAAGTAATTATGATCTACAAGTCAAGTTAGGCCCACAGTTACACTTGTGCAACCTGACTATCATCAATTTTCACAAGCAGCAGGTATAGATAATTGGATAATAGACAAATTATGTTGATAATGCACAACATGAAAAAGAGTCCAATACGCTCACTTTCAGCTATGTAGGTTCTGCAGGGCTAACTGCAAAAAGTAGTAAAATCTATTTTTGCTGTTAACACCACGTGTAATTCAAACCACATACAGAGACCAAATCTGTTGAGTAAGAAGGGACTATCTTTACACAGATAATTTTCAAAGTAGAAGTCGAACTTCTTCACACCATTCATAATCAGTCTTAAAATATTATTCATATAACTTTTAAAAAATACAAAAAAGGTAAATAGGAGAACTCACCATCTTAAGGAACGGAGCTGATGGGTTGTAGCTGTAGGTATCTTTGTCTTTTAGGATAAGAATATGAGCAGAGTCAATGATCACCCTCTTCAAATTCATTAATGAGTGGAAAAGCCTGTTGATTGAATTTTCAATTGTTACTAGTTTTGAGATATGTTTATAAAAAGCCATTATAAGACCCTTGGAAAAAAGGATATAGAAATAATATTAACTATTAAAAGTATTGCTTTAGTGGAGTCTAATTTTTTTATTCTGACCTAAATTTCCAAAAATGACTAGTTATTTTGGGTGCCCAACTTGAGATACCTTGAAAGACCCTAATTTGGCGGAAGCACTAAGCACTTGTCTCCTGAAAATTAAACCCTCACTTTACCCTGTCTCAATTTGGGCACCCAGAAATCATCACCATCCTTGCCACACTATCAGAAGTGTATGGAAGAAGGCAAATGGCCCTAATCATCCCTACCCTGGGCTCCTGTGTCTAGTACTTTCATATTTAGCTGAAATAATGCTGCTACAGCCATTATTGTACTACAGAGCGTGCCTCTAGGTCAACTTCTCCATCTCCATCAAAGCAATTTTAGTTTATGTAGCATATTACTGGGCATTCTTAAAAGATGTCCAAAATATGTCCAACTTTCTTAGGTACTACTTGCCTTGTATGTAGGTGTGTCCATTCTAAGCCCTCCTTCATTCCTTTATATAATTAGTTCATTTTACTTTGGGTAGTCTATGCAGACAACTGCACTGAAAGCTGTTTCAAATTTGCATGGGATAGAATTACTTTTCCAGGACTCTGCTCCACAGAAGATGATACTTAAGGTCTTTATAAGCAGTCAGTGTGATGTTTTTGCTACTCACACTGGACTTCCATACAGCATAAAGTTTTTTAAATACAGCACTTGTGTTACCTATTCTGGGCTTCATATCAAACACGTAATCAGCAATATTGTGAATGATGCTACCCAGATAAGCTTATTGTTGGTTTTCCCAGCTTCACCTTCCCTATGGGTGCTCCACTGTAGGTGACTCCACAGCAGTACCGCTGATGGAGGAATGGGGCTTCGGATTTGAATCTATAACTGATGCTAATACTGTGGAGCCAAATATAGCATGGGATGATGAGCATGGATAATTGCATAATGTTTTTGAAAACGTATGGGCAGACGTCCAAGTTTCTGCCCTACATATTTCTGATGAAGGCTACAGAAGTGGAAAGAAATCTCATGAAATGAGTTCAGATTCCAGATAGGGATTGAAGATTGCGGGCATGAGAGCAGTAGTTAATACAGTTAGATATCCACCTGAAGAGTCTCTGATTTGATATTGAGGATCCCTTGGATCTCTCTGCAATTGAGAGGATTAGTTTAGGATAGTGGTTTTCGACCTGTGGATTGCAGACCACTGGGAATCTGCAGACTATATCTAAGATTTTTCAAAGGGGCCTAACATCTCCATTCTAAATTTTTTAGGGGTCCTCAAATGAAAAAAGGTTGAAAACCACTGTTTTAGGAGATTCCTGGAGTCTTTCGTTCTATCCAAATCAAATGCCAAAGCTCTTCTGACATTGAGTGTATGCAATACTGCTTCTCTGTTGTCACGGTGCAGCTTTGGGAAGAAAATATAAGCCTCAATTTGCTCTTTTAATGTTTTTTTGATAGAAGTAACGGTTTGTCCTTATCCAACGACTACTAAGTCATCATATTCTAAGGCTTCTCAGGCACTTTGACTCTTGAACATTTTGATGTGACTATTGTTTAGCCTGGGTATCCAATTTTCGATACCTCATGATCTTGCATTATGTTAGATGTCATAGCTCGTACTATAAAGCAGAGGGAATGCAGAATAGCACAGATACAAATATGATGCTGGAGCTGATTTTTTTTTTTGTAGAGTTCATTTGATCCTCTTCTCCTTTGCACTGAAGAACTTCAGAATTTATCATTCCATAATAGGATGGCATGAGAAAAGTCTGTAGAAGCTGCAAAAGTCTTTAATGCTGCAGACAAATCATCATCACACAGTCATGCTGGAGGACTACTTCTTTATGCTATCCATTCATTAATCAGGAAGCATGCTCCCAAAAGATGTCAATGCTGCATTTATTATGGAAACTCAAGATGCCTCCATTTTGAGGAACCATACAAAATCTTAGCTCTTTGGACTGTGTAAAGTTACTGAATTTGCCTATTTTGGTATCAATTTCTTTTGGCACTTATTTCCTCTCTATCATCTTCCACAGTGAAGGGGAAGGCATACTTCCTACCTGCAATATAACACAAAATATTTGTATGGTCTTACTGTCCCCTCAGTCTTGTCTGTGTAGTTCTAGCTTTATCTTCTTCTGGTTATCTCACTGAAGTGTTGAGGTCCCCTTTTGATTATGTTCTGGAGGAAACAGTCTTTCTTGGGTTTATTCTTTGTATCAGAAGGGTAGGAGTCGGAGCCCTCCCTGTTCCTCAAACAATTACATGCTTGAAGCAGAATCTCTTTCTAGCCTTGTTAGATTTTCTTTTTTATTTGAGATTTCTACTGTGTTTATCTTTTCCTCATCTCATGGGATAAAGAGTTATTTTCCCTTTTATTTCTTATTTTTCATTAATAGGGCAATAACCATCTATTTTAGTCTGTCTCAGAGTAACCCCATAATTGATGGGCCAAGATTACACTGGTCTACAATTTTTGAGAAGTCGTCTGCTTCAGAGATAAAATGTGCTATTTATTATGTATTTTGATGTGCTGAATTCAAATATGACAATTAAAACAACTGATTGGCTACTGTTTCTAAGATATTTAAGTTTTTACATTTTATGTCTATGTATATTGTGTAGATAGTAGAGTTTTAATCATAAATTGTAAATTTAGGTCTTTTCATGTGTTTATGGTTGCTTTACATGATAATATTTCACCTGTCCTGTTTATGCAACAC